TCTCTGCTCTCCTGACAGCAGCCTGTCAGAATTTAAATCTGTCACTTCTGAGAATGACAGGTTATTTTTTATGTATATTGAAGAAATAGATTTTCTTTACTCAGCTCCACCTGTGTCTTATTAGCTCTCACAAAATTATTCATGAGCAAAGGAATCTGTTCAAAGTATGAAATGATAGCATATTCAGCAACTTTGCACTTCCAAGTTTCAGTAGCAACAGAATTCTAGTCCTCATGGAAGCATGCAAATATTCAGAAGAAGCTAGAATAGGCTACCAGTTAATATGCATCTTGCAGTATACCTGGTCTTTCACTTTCCCCTCATCTCATTTATCTCATATTATTATTATTATTATTATTATTAATTGTTGTTGTTGTTGTTGTTGTCGTCGTCATCAACAACAACAACATTTCACCAGGGTGAAAAGAGAGATTTGTCATTGTAGTGCATTTCAGATGCTGTTGCACTGCAATTCCCAGCATCCCTTGCTGGCTTGAGCTGCTGGGGGGTGGGGGTGGGTCTTGTCCAGCCACATCTTTAGAGCACCACAATGACTACTCCTGCTGTAAAATCTACAGTTATCTTCTGTATAATTGAGTCAAAAATTTGCTTATTGCAAAGAGTAACTATAACAGGGACAGAGACAAAACATCAACCACTTCCCTCTTGTGTTGCTCTCAGAACCTTTAAGAGTTATCAGTGACAGACCCTGGCACTTCAAACTTCAGTGGCACCCTGTGCAATGCCAAAATCCCTCCCACCTCTCGCCTTCCATTGGATGCCATAGTTGCAGCACCTGTTGCAGTGCCCTCACCCAGTCATACCGAACCAGTCATGCTCCCCTAGATCCATCGTTGGAGTTATCTAGAATACAAGAGTGCCCTGCTGCAGGCTGTAGGAAATCTGGCTTCTGTTTCTCGTACTTTTTTATCTTCAAAGAACTGGCTGTTGGTTATATACCTGTCTGTCCTGGAAAGCTTAATCATATCTGACTCTGTTATATATATTTTACAAATTGATAAATAATATCAGTTGACTGTTGGTTTAATGATTGATTTTTGCCTATTTTATAATGAATTTTAAAATCCCTCTCCCTAACCCAAATGCCTCCTATGCATTTATTTTGGAATCAAATAATGAACAATACTGCTTCTCCCCTGGATTTCATTCAATAGGGTTGACCCCATTTATCTGAAATGAATACCATGCCCTCAGTCCAAATCTGTTTAGATAAACATGGTCCCTGTTGTAGCTTTTCTCTGTTTAATATAAATCAGCAGATGCTGCTTCAATTAAAACTTGGCATCAGCCTTATTTTAGATTATCAATTAGGATGTTACGTTGCTTCGTATGCATTGAACATTCTGTTTCCCCTCCCCACCACCACTGGGGATGCCATGAAAAGATCAAACATTCCTAATAAAAAGACTGAAGTGCAGGATGCTTTACTAAAACTACAGTGACATTTGCGACAAATGTGGCAGTCAATAAAGCCAGCAGGATGTTCACAGCCGGTTGAGCAAGTGGTACCCAGATTGCTGCAACCATCTCATCTCTCCATCTTTCCCACCTCCTAGACCATGGCTTGACTATAATGACTCTTTTGCTGCTCATCGCTCTCCCTCCCTATCAATTTTCATTTCCCTCCACTGCTTCTTTATCACTTTCTTTATCACTTTTGTTGTCAGGCGTACAACTACTTTTAGATCAAATGTTTGCCATAAATCCAAGGAATAGGCATCTATCCCATAAAGTATATAAATAAAATTGGCTGGCTTTAAGAGGCATTAGTAGATAATGTTGCTTCGTATCCACCGATGCTATTAAATATCGTCACATCTCTATTGGAAGGGGAGAAATGAATTTTCTTATGCTCAGTATGAGATTTAGATTGTGTATACTCCATCTCTTCCCCTCCCACCCCAACACGTAGACGGATTCTAAGTAATGACGTTACTGCTTCCCACGCTCTTCACGGGGGAACAACCAGTGTGTTTGCGGAGTACAATGTACTTTGTAAAAGTACTATTTTCCACCTTTTGAAGAGATCAAGAGTTGTTGAGAAATTGTCACTTTAAAAACTTTTAAATTTTTGTTGTCTTAACTCATCGGATAAATCCTGGGTTCACCCAACTGCAGTGGGAATGAGTGGGGTGGGTGTCAACATGGAGTCACGTGGCTTCTTTCTTGCAAATCAGAGACAAGCCAAACACCCCATGACTTACAAAATAGGAAAGCTTGCCTTCCCTCCATCTTCCCTCACCAATGAATGAGTGTTTAGGAGTAGCCACAATGTTAACTGATGGAGACAGAATTTCACTCTCTTCATCAGTTGCCAAAATCATACAGGATGTTGAACCAGGGGGGGGCAGGGGAAATCCTGCTGAGCAGTTTCCACTGGTGTTTCACATCTGTCTTCTCTTACATGTCTATGCTAGGGTATTTTATAATGGAGTTGGGTGCATTTTTACTGCATTTTTAGTGGATGAGCTCTAGAGAATGTCTGTCATCTGGGTCTCTTTCTTTTCTTCCTTGGAGTTTTAGGAAACCAGCATGAGACTGGTATAATATTTCACAAGAATATGTTTTATATGTTAATGCTATTTGCAGTTTTCTAACTCTGGTTTTAATCTACAGGCAGCTAACCTGAAGGGGTTCTGTTATTCAAACAGATAACCAGCCTAGAGACCGTATTAAGGGCAGTCCTCTAAACAGCATGGAACAATATGAAAGTGGTTCAGCTTTCTAGAGGTCTCTTCTCAGAGGAGAAAGAAAACCTTAGAGGCATTTTGCCTTTAGATTTATTTAAAGTAAACAAAACAGAACCATATCTTTTAGGTACACCATTTTCTGGATGGGGTGGGGGAGAATAGGCTCAGTTTGCCTTGCCATACAAACCTATATAATATCCATTTCCAAAGCTCAGCTATCTTTTGAAATTTGTACCTCTCTGAATTTTTTGGTGGCTATTCTCCAGCCAAAAAACCATTTATATTAACGGGGAATATAAATTGAAATGCATATATTAGTGAAAAACAAATAGAGAAATGTACTGTATCAGGGAAATTGCACAAACAATGTGTATATTAGCCTAATTGTTGATAAATTTTGATGATGACTTTAAAAAATAAAGAAAGCAAAGTGATGTAGAAATGTGACAAAGTCTGGAAAAATAAGAAGCTGAGATAAACTGAAGTGGGCAGATGCATCTATCCCTACACTAAGCCTTCTGTGCCAGAATCTATGCAAACAAAAGCCAGCAATTGTAGCACAGCCCAGTCTCAAATTAGCAAGGCACAACTGGCAAATCATAAATATATCTTACTCCAGGTGATCATTATTTAGTATTGTGTGCATCACTATCAGCCAAATTCTGGATCCTGAAGTAAATTGGTATGATTCAGGTCAACCCAAGATTCAGCTAGAGCATGTAGAGGCTGCCCCAGATCTCCTTGGGTTGGATCAGGTCCCCCTGCAGTCATCTAGAGCTGTCGAAAAGGGATGCAGCCAGCGGCAAGGAGAAAGGACAGAAGATTATGCCTGCAGGCTACCTTGATCCAGGTCAGGTTGGCCCAGGTCATCTCTGATCAGATTGGGGCCACTTTCAAGTGCTAGATTGGTCCCCAAATCAGATTAAGAGGTTTTGTACAGCCCACATTTGTGTGGGACGCGGGTGGCGCTGTGGGTAAAACCTCAGTGCCTAGGGCTTGCCGATCGCATGGTCGGCGGTTCGAATCCCCGCTGCGGGGTGAGCTCCCATCTTTCGGTCCCAGCTCCTGCCCACCTAGCAGTTCGAAAGTACCCTTAAGTGCAAGTAGATAAATAGGTACCGCTTACCTAGCGGGAAGGTAAATGGCGTTTCCGTGTGCTGCTCTGGTGCTGGCTCGCCAGAGCAGCTTTGTCACACTGGCTACGTGACCCGGAAGTGTTTCCGGACAGCGCTGGCCCCCGGCCTCTTAAGTGAGATGGGCGCACAACCCTAGAGTTGGACACGACTGGCCCGTATGGGCAGGGGTACCTTTACTATTTGTGTAGGGATGCGGGTGGCACTGTGGGTTAAACCACAGAGCCTAGGACTTGCTGATCAGAAGGTCGGCAGTTCGAATCCCCATGACGGGGTGAGCTCCCGTTGCTCAATCCTTGCTTCTGCCAACCTAGCAGTTCGAAAGCACGTCAAAGTGCAAATAGATAAATAGGTACCGCTCTGGCGGGAAGGTAAACGGCGTTTCTGTGTGCTGCTCTGGTTCGCCAGAAGCGGCTTAGTCATGCTGGTCACATGACCCAGAAGCTGTTTGCGGACAAACGCCGGCTCCTTCGGCCAGTAAAGCAAGATGAGCGCCGCAACCCCAGAGTCGGTCATGATTTGTGTAGCATTTTCAAGTGTTCAAAATTCCTCTTATCTCTGTAATCAGCACACCAACCTTGTAAGGGTGGTCAGCATCATCCCCTACATATTATAGGCTTGGAGGGAAACTCAGTGATTTGCCTAAGACCATGCAGTGGGTCCATGGCAACTCTTGGCAACAACCATTGTTTTTGATTGGCATCATTCCCCAAAGAAGGGCTTCTAACTCATGGGGAATTTGTTCATTTGCTAATGAATTCACTTGTCACTTGGATCAACACAGCTTGATGTTCCCCTGCTTTTCAGCAATGTTCATATGCCCTCCTGTTTCCCCTGCCCAAAGTGTGTGTGTGTGTGTGTGTGTGTGTCTCTCTCTCTCGTGTGTGTGTGTGTGTGTGTGTGTGTGTGTGTTTGGCCTTAACTGGTGACTTTCATGTCTGAATGATGAGTGATTCAAATATTTCTCTTCCTTGGTTCTTCATCTCTCCTTAAAACACAATTTCATCGCATCCTATTTATGAAAGCACCTTATGTGAAAAGTGGCTTGAGAAATGAGATGAGCAAAGAAACAACTTCAAAAAAAAAAAGAAAGAAAAAAAGCCTGGAGATATTCAGGCACTTGCAGCTTCTAATTAAGCAAATAAAAGCATTTAAATTATCGGATGGTTGGCCTGACTCTTCTGAGTGTTTAATTTTATACTTGAGAGATACTGAGAGGAGGAAAATGTGAAGGTGCCGTTCCATTTCTTCCAGGTATTTTTTTGCACTTTGGGCATCCTTGATGAAGATCAAGAAGAGCTTCCTAGAGAAATAGAGGCAGAAGAGAATTTGGTTTGGTCCTCATTTCTCAGTAAGTCAACCTTATTTGCTCTTCTTGGGCTGAAACACAGATCAGAATGTAGTCAGTTGGACTGAATTCCAAGTAAATGTGCCTAGGATCACAGCCTTAGGCTACAATCCTAAACACAATGACAAGGGAGTAATCAACATTGAACACAGTTCAGTTGTGTCCAAGTTGGAGTTTTTTCTCTAGTTAGCAAAAAACAATAATCCCACCCCACGAGATTTCACTAATTTTTCACCAGCTGGCTTTGGAATAAATTCCAATATGTTTTAGCAAGTTTGTTAAGCGCTCCTGCATTTCTTTTAACATCTGAACTATATAGAGTTATACATATTTATACTCATTTTTGCATTCAGTATATTGCATCCATATTGCATTATTTTAGTTTGTTTACATACTTAATGATGCAATTCCTTCTAAGGTTTACCTTTACTGCAGTGTGTGTGTGCATATATACATATATGTATGTGTGTAGATAGATAGATGATATCGATATATGTATAATGTTTGTGCCATAAAATTTTGAATTTAAAAAAGAATTCTTGCATTTATCTTCCCATTACTGCTGCTTAGCAGTTACCAGGTTGTTTATGCTGAAACAACAGCTTTCTCCTTCCTTATCAGCCTCCACCTGCTGTCTCTTTCACAGGCAGCGTAACATCTATAATCCTTTCTTTGATGATGAATTGTGATGTCACAAACCATAGATTGTGGCATCACTGAAAGGATCAGATTGATAAAGAACAAAGGGGGAACGCTCTTTTCACACGCATGCACACACAAAATGTCTTTATCATGGTCAAGGATGGATGAAGTTATCTTAAAAAAGAGCTAGAAAAAAGCATAGTTATCCCATGAACATTTTTGCTTAAAAAGTGTGTGTGTGTGTACACACACACACACACACACACACACTCTGTCCTGGGCCAGCTGTGTGGGCCAAACCACACAGAACTGCAGCAGATCTATTTTTTTACTTATCTCAATTTGTTTAACCTCAAATCTTCCCAGTGTGTAACCCTGATCTCATTTGGGGCCTGATCAGATGCTTTATTGTGACCCCAATTTAACACAGATCTGGTCCCCAAACCAAATTGGGGGCCTTGTTCAGTGCTTAACTGGGGTTTAAAACAAACATATGGTGAACCAGGGGGGAAAGGAGACCCAGGATGCCTGCCTTCTTCTTCTTCTTCCCCATCCCACCACGCTCTCCTAGTTGCCTGACCATCAACCCTTTGGACAGCCCCACTTAGCCTCAAGTGGACCTGATCTGAACTGGAAATAATCCAGGGCTGCCTCAACCCTCTCCAGATGAATCCCAGGTTGACCCAAATTAGCCCGATGTGGATCAGTGTCTGGGATGCATCTGGAGCAGTTTCAGAGTCCTAGTATAAAGTGTGTCTTGTACAGCATAAGGGATGGCAGATGCGGAGAGCAAAACCCTTCCTTCAGCCACCATTTACCTCCCTATAGCACTGTAATCTTAACTGAGCTTACTTCTGGTCTCATACCTTAACTGAGGTGGGCATAGGGGAAGCATCTGGGAGTGTCAAGGTTGCGTTCAGATGCAGGTCAGCACCCCTATAGTTGCCAGGGCTGACAGTCCCCTCCTTCTACCTCTGCTAAGGGTCCTCCCCTGCCGGATGTCCCCCAAACGGCCTCAAACTGCATCTGGGCACCTGTGCTCTCTCTTTTGCTCTATGCATAAGTCTTTGCATCCTTGGAGATGGGGGGGGGGGACTTGTCGCAGTAGGAGATGCAAAATCCTGGGATTCTTCTTCAGCCTCTTGCTCCCACTCCTCTGCTTCAGTTTCTGAGTCTGCACTGCTCCCTGTCACACGCTCTCCTTGCTCACTAAATCCTGTTGCCTCTTCAGCGTCTAACTATTCCCCCCATTCTTCTTCCTCTGACCTCTCCTCGGTGTCCCACCACCAATCTCCTGCCTCTGAGCCTTCTTCCTCTGGAGGTTCCCCGGCTGGTGCCTCCCCCCACTCCAGTCAGTTCCTGACAGATAACCACATTGCAGGAAGGTGAACTATAGGGGAGGGGAGGGTTTAGCATCCTCACCCTTTCTGTTGTAAAATCAGATAATCTCATTTCTATGTTTATGTGATTGGGGGAGATTAGATAATTCAGCGTGTTATTTACAGGTCAATTCTGACCCCTAGCCTCTTTCTTCAGGGCTGAAAGATTAAAATGAGCAACAAACCTGTCAGGGAGCTGCCATCAGCTCAGGAGCGAGAGGGGAAAAGGCGGATGGATTACAGAGAGCCCCTAAAGATTGTGGGAAGCAACACTTCCTCAGCAGAGGAAGGCAGCCACGCCTCTAGTGGGGAGGAGGTGCAGGGCTCAGATGATGCAAGGCGGTGCCAGGACACCTTGCCTGAACAAAGCGGGGAGGAGGGAGGTCCTCCTTTACTGAAATATACTCAGAGTCGCAAAGTGATTTCATGCCCTTTATTCAGCTCATAGCGGTGAGGAGGAATGAATGAAAGTCCCCTCACAGTATCTGCTTTATATACATTATTTACACAATGGGCTGCACATGATTGGCTAATTCCGGAATTCTACTGTAAGCCAATCAGGTTGTGGATTCACTTCTATCTGGAGCATGATTGGGTGGTTCCTGCCAACCAATCATACTGCTGCATTCTTCTAGGACCAATCAGACTGCTGCATTCTGAATCCTATTCTTCTAGAACCAATCAGACTGCTGCATTTTGGATCCTATTGTTCTAGGACCAATCAGACTGCTGCAGTTTGGATCCTATTCAACTCAGTACATAACATTTACCAAAGCCGTCCTTGCGCAGTAAGCTTTCACGCAGAGAGGGGAGGCGCAGACTGCGGGTCAAGAAACTACTCTGCTGAGGAAGATTTAAGGACCGCCCACTCTCAGATTCTGCCAGTGAATGAGCAAGACATGGAATAGAGGCGCTCTGCATTCTAAAGGTTTTTACCACCAATAAGAAAGCTTTAGAACAGACTATTGAGGCATAATACCTGATTGCTCTCGAGCAACCAACTGATACCTCTTACAAAACCCAATGAAATCGGGATCAAATTATACACATTTCAATAGGGACATCAATAAAGTTCAACATAGTTAGTTTGAGGACTTCTCTCAGTTTTCTCACAAAACAAAATATAGGATCTGTGCAGGCCCCTCCCTAAGTCTGAGGCAGGAGGAGGAGGGGTGGAATTGACTTCCAAGTATTGCAGTGCAAGCCCCCTTGCCCCTTTAATTTCATTTAAGCTGCTTTATCACATTTCTCAGCTCTGGCTGAGCTTCAGCTTCCCTTTTTTACATGTTCATATATATCAATCCGTCACTGTGCCGTTTGAAGCGCATTCCAGAAAGCGCAAGGGCCAGCAGATCAAATCATATTGGTGGTAAAGCAGATAAAAAATAATGACTTGGTATTTTTACCTCTTTGAACTGGAACGATTTGGAAGAAATATTGGGGCTGACAGTTACAGCAAAGGCAATAGCCCTGCCAAAGTCTTTTAAGGGCCTCCTCTGTCCTTTTCCAGCGCCCACCTGTTACTCATTAGAGATATTACAAACTGCATAAACATGACTAGGGAAAGGCTTCCAGGTTTGAACTCAACTGATTATCTTGGCAGATAGGTTTTCTTAAAAAGAATCAAGAGATCTCAAAACATTTGAGTTTGAGAAACATTTGAGAATCAAGAGATCTCAAAACATTTGAGTTTTGCTTGATTTTCAACTGGTGGCAGGGAGGGGAAGGGGGTAATTTCCCAGGGCTCCTTTTTGCAGCATCCTTGAAGTATTGTGGTCCTGAGTTGTTTAAGGCTTTACTTGTTTTTTAAAAAGAAAGAAACAACACTTTGAATTGGGCCCAGAAATGAATTGGCAGCCTATGCAATCAGGGCAGGATTGGTGTTGTGTTCTCAAACCTTCTTGCCCCGGTGAGCAACCTGGCTGCTGAATTCTGCACCAGCTGAATTTTCTGAACCATCTTCAGAGGCAGGCCCAGGTATAATGCATGTCAGTCATCTTCTTCTGCCCCATTACTGCCTCTGGAATTAGAGGTGTTTGAAACACAGCTGAAACCTGCAGAACCTGGCCCTAGCTATGGTAGTGGGGTATGTCTGTACATAGAAGGTGACAATAGTGCTTTTGTGCCACTTCCGTTGCTGGAGGAAAAGGATTGTCTAGTTCCAGGTCCTGTGGGGAATTGTTTATTTATTTATTTGAAAATGCCTAACAGACTCTTTCATAAAAATACAGTGTGGCGATCTACAACATAGAAAATGCATTAAAACCAGTCAATAAATAGCTGTAAAACATAATTAGAAACATCACTAAAACTTCAGTTGATACTGGTGGGAAGAGTTGGGCATGTTTAGTCTGGGGAAGAGAAGAGTAAGGAGACAGCTGCTATCAAATTCCTGAATGGCTGCCTCACAGAAGATGGAACGAACTTGCTCTCCATTGCTTCAGGGGGCAGCACTAATGGGAGGCAATCGCAGGGGAGCCAATTTTGGCTGATACATTTGGAAGAACACAATACATCTCATCATAGTGGTCAGAACGCTGTGGTCAGGAAGATCTCTTTGCTGCTGGCCATTGATGTATACCCTCAAGGCCCAGGTCCTCACCCCATAACTTTGATCAGGCAGCCCTTGAAATTTAACTCCTTCAAATGGAGGTCTGACCTGCAAAAATAGGACACATATCCACCCTATCTGTATGCTGGGAGGCAAGTTTATTTTCAAGACCTTGTCTTGGTTATACGCTTCTCAATGACATCGGCGCTGGAGTCACAATTGCGGCCTAGATGGACCTTACGTCCAGTTATCCAGTGTTATGTACTGAGTTGAATAGGATCCAAAATGCAGCAGTCTGATTGGTCCTAGAACAATAGGATTCAGAATGCAGCCATCTGATTGGTCCACAGGAGCTGCCCAATCCAGCTCCAGGTGGAAGTGAATCCGCAGCCTGATTGGCCTACAGGAGAATCCCATAATTAGCCAATCACATGGGGCCCATTGTGTAAATAATGTATATAAAGCAGACATTCTGGGGAAACTTCCATTCCTCCTCACCACTATGAGCTGAATAAAGAGCATGAAATCCACTCTCGACTCTGAAAATATTTCATCCAGCAAGGCAGTTTTAAAAATAAAAAGCATGGCAGAGGGGATGTCTGACCCATTCCCTCTTTCCCTTTCCCGGATCTGTCACCTCTGTTGTTTTCACGTTGCAGGGAAAGCAATACGGCGTATCAAATTTCCGGTTGATGCGTCTCCTTCACCTCTTGCCTTTCATTCCCTCCTACATTCTGCATTCCAGCTGCTGAGCACTGTGACATTTAGCAGAGGAGGATCAAACTCCATCTCTTCACCATTAAGCCCTTCCATCTCTCTTCAAGTCACACGCTGCTCTCTCCACATGCTCTGTTTGCAGCCTATGTCACACGTGGAACAACAGAAGCTGCTCTCGTGCCCTCCTCCTCCTCCAAAGCTCTGCAAGGAAAAAGAAATTGTGCAGGCAATTTAAATAAGGAGAAAAGTACAAAAGTAAGGGAAGGAAAAGGAGAAATTTAAGAATAAAGATGCGAAGGATAAACTGTGTGAACCAGACCAGTGGCATATATACCTGATATTATACTGCCACCT